CATATAGTCCACCGCCAAGCAGCACATGGTCAAAGGAGGAGCTAGATAGTAAACGTGAAGGTCTTATAACAATAATGAGAGAGATTATAGCGAGAGCGGATAACGATAGATCACGACTGTTGATAGTCGGTGACTTCAACTTGAAATCCATAGACTGGGAAGCATATGAAGCTAAAACAGAAGATTTTTGGACCTGTAAATTTGTAGACCTCATCCTGGAAACATTCTTGTATCAACATGTTAAACAAGCTACGAGGATGAGGGAAGGGGACGTTCCCTCCATGCTAGATTTGATATTTACCAGGAAGGAGGAAGAGATATTTGACATTCAGTACCTTCCTCCCTTGGGTAAAAGTGACCATGTCTTTTTGGGAATAAAGTATGCAATGCGTTATAAGCTGGAAGAAAATAAGGAGGTTGAAGCAGTTGAAAAACCAGACTTCAGGAGAGGACATTATGGTGACCTTAGAAATTTTTTTAGTGAGTATAATTGGACAGACTTGATGCTAGGCAAGGAAGTGAATGAGATGTATGTCAAGTTTTGTGAAATATGTGATAAAGGCACAAAAAAATTTATACCAAAACAGAGATGCAGAACTTGGAAACAGGATTGGTTCAATAGAAATTGCGAGAGGGCTAGAGACCAAAAGACACAAAAATGGAATCAATACAGGAAGAGGCCAAACCCCCAAACATACCAGCGATACAAAGATACGAGAAACAACTATACGGCAGTAAGGAGAGAGGCAGAAAGAAATTTTGAAAAAGGGATAGCGGATAAATGTAAAACAGAACCGGGCCTATTCTACAAATTCATAAACAACAAATTGCAGGTAAAGGATAATATCCAGAGGTTGAAAATGGGAAACAGATTCACAGAAAATGAAAAGGAAATGTGTGAAACATTAAATGAAAAGTTCCAAAGTGTGTTTGTACAAAATGAAATCTTCAGAGAACCAGACACGATAAGAATTCCAGAGAACAACATAGAGCGGATAGAGGTGTCTAGATATGAAGTGGAAAATATGCTAAAGGAGCTCAGTAAGAACAAAGCAGCTGGCCCAGATGGAGTTTCACCATGGGTTCTGAGAGAATGTGCATCTGAGCTCAGCATTCCACTTCACCTGATCTTTCAGGCATCCCTGTGTACAGGAATCATAGCATACGCGTGGAAACATAGTTCCAATCTACAAAAGTGGCAGCAGGGAAGACCCCCTCAATTATAGACCTGTATCATTGACAAGTGTAATAGTGAAAGTATTGGAAAAACTAATCAAAACTAAATGGGTAGAACACCTGGAGAGAAATGATATAATATCAGACAGGCAGTATGGTTTTCGATCTGGAAGATCCTGTGTATCGAATTTACTCAGTTTCTATGATCGAGCCACAGAGATATTACAGGAAAGAGATGGTTGGATTGACTGCATCTATCTGGACCTAAAAAAGGCTTTCGACAGAGTTCCCCATAAGAGGTTGTTCTGGAAACTGGAAAATATTGGAGGGGTGACAGGTAAGCTTCTAACATGGATGAAAAATTTTCTGACTGATAGAAAAATGAGGGCAGTAATCAGAGGCAATGTATCGGAATGGAGAAATGTCACAAGTGGAGTACCACAGGGTTCAGTTCTTGCACCAGTGATGTTTATCGAGTACATAAATGATCTACCAGTTGGTATACAGAATTATATGAACATGTTTGCTGATGATGCTAAGATAATAGGAAGGATAAGAAATTTAGATGATTGTCATGCCCTTCAAGAAGACCTGGACAAAATAAGTATATGGAGCACCACTTGGCAAATGGAATTTAATGTTAAATAAATGTCATGTTATGGAATGTGGAATAGGAGAATATAGACCCCACACAACCTATATATTATGTGAGAAATCTTTAAAGAATTCTGATAAAGAAAGAGATCTAGGGGTGGTTCTAGATAGAAAACTATCACCTGAGGACCACATAAAGAATATTGTGCAAGGAGCCTATGCTATGCTTTCTAACTTCAGAATTGCATTTAAATACATGGATGGCGATATACTAAAGAAATTGTTCATGACTTTTGTTAGGCCAAAGCTAGAATATGCAGCTGTTGTGTGGTGCCCATATCTTAAGAAGCACATCAACAAAATGGAAAAGGTGCAAAGACATGCTACTAAGTGGCTCCCAGAACTGAAGAGCAAGAGCTACGAGGAGAGGTTAGAAGCATTAAACATGCCAAAACTAGAAGACAGAAGAAAAAGAGGTGATATGATCACTACGTACAAAATAGTAACAGGAATTGATAAAATCGACAGGGAAGATTTCCTGAGACTTGGCACTTCAAGAACAAGAGGTCATAGATTTAAACTAGCTAAACACAGATGCCGAAGAAATATAAGAAAATTCACCTTCGCAAATAGAGTGGTAGACGGTTGGAACAAGTTAAGTGAGAAGGTGGTGGAGGCCAAGACCGTCAGTAGTTTCAAAGCGTTATATGACAAAGAGTGCTGGGAAGACGGGACACCACGAGCGTAGCTCTCATCCTGTAACTACACTTAGGTAATTACACTTAGGTAATTACACACACACATACATACACATATACACAATGGGGCCTCGACTTACGATGCAAATCCGTTCCCAGAGACGGATCGTAAGTCGAAGCGATTTTTCCCATAAGAAATAAAGGGAATTGAATTAATCCGTTCCCCACCCTCCAAAATATTAACATACAAATACATTTTATACTGAATACAATGTTTTTTCTAACTACAATACAGTACATAAGTTGATCTTACCTTTATGGCGTATGGAAGATGGTGATGAGGGGGGAGAAGGAGAGTTGTTACTGTTTGGAAGGGGAGTCCCCTTCCATTATCACATCAGGCAGTGATGTTTTCTCTGGGGTAGTCTCTCTCCTACGTTTTGCCTGAATACCACTAGGACCTGGTTGTGGTTCAGTGCTTGTTTGTCTCGCTACAAATTTGTCAAAGAGACATTTGTTTTTCCCTTCGTTTCAACATTTGTCTGTAATGATGCATCACAGTGTCATTGAATAGGTTAAGGCAACGGCCTACTGCAGCTTGATTTGGGTGAGTCGTTTTAGCAAAGGTTTGCAATTCTTCCCATGCTGCACACATTTTCCTAATTGTTGAGGAAGAGACATTCTGTACTCTTGTTTCTGCTCTATGGTAATCCTTACATGGGTTTTCATATGTTGAGCCTTACCACTGACTTTCCTGGGACTCATTACGTGATATATAATAATTACTTTAATGTTCAAAATGCAGAAAATCACCACAAACGTGGAATTTCTTATAGGCGCGATTGTCACTAAGCGGGTAGCTGTAGTAAACTGAGGCAGGTCGGACCGCGTGACCGGGAACCACGCGCTCAGTCGACCCGAACGTGTACCAACAAATATCGGAAGTCGACGACTTCCGATATAGATATATATATATATATATATATATATATATATATATATATATATATATATATATATATATATATATATATATATATATATATATATATATATACATACAGTATATATATATATATATATATATATTTGTATTTATATTTATATTTATATTACCTTTAATATTACAGTATATATACAATATTCAGGGGACAGGCTTCCTGTCCCTGAAAAAATTAATTATAATTATTCCTTTCTGTTCAAGCACCTTGTGTATCAAAATGGTGTTTGCTGCCACATGTAGGTTATCTTGAGATTATCTTGAGATGATTTCGGGGCTTAGCGTCCCTGCGACCCGGTCCTCGACCAGGCCTCCTTTTTGTTACACCCCCCCCAGGAAGCAGCCCATAGCAGCTGTCTAACTCCCAGGTACCTATTTACTGCTAGATAGCAGCGGCATCAGGGGGAAAGAAACTGCCCGTTTGTTTCCGCCTCCACTGGGGATTGAACCCAGAATGTCAGGGCTACGAATCTGAAGCACTGTCCACTCAGCTGTCAGGCCCCCTTAAATGTATATAATATATGTGTGTATACAGTATGTTCATATGAATGGCAATTCTTCCTGAGACAATATAATTCATAATAATTATAATTTACTGTTTCAGGGGACAGGCAGCCAGTTTATACACACAGCACATGTTAGGCTTATATCGAGGTTCCCCCAAGGTCGACTTACTGACCCTTCTCAGGATGCAACCCTACAATTAGCTGACTAACTCCTGGATACCTATTTACTTCTAGGTGAACAGAGGCATTAGGTGATAGGAAATGCACCCAAACATTTCTATCCCACCTGGGATTCAAACCTGGAATTCTCGATTGTGAGTTGAAAACAAACCCGACTGTACTACTGGAACCCATATAGCCATTAACTTTTATTTTCTCTCTGGATTCACTGAGAGTGGATTGAAACTTCCAAATTACAGCAAATTCAAAAATAAAATCAAGACTGAGTAGATTTTATGAGCAAGACTTTCTTACTGCACAAATATTTATGATTTCTTATGTTATGTAGAGACTGAAGTGCTGTACTGTATCTTGAATTACGAAGATTTTTATCTTTAATGCAAGATCATTGCTCTGGACAATTAAAAGAATTCATTATATAGTATATATTTAATATTACAAATGTTATCAGTAATTCATATGATGTATCAAACTAAGACTGTTCTGTGGCATCTGAATTGTAGTATGAATGTATTGTATATAAATAGATTGTGCAGTACATGAACAGATTGTACAGTTTGTGAACAGATTGTACAGTACATGAGCAGATTGTACAGTACATGAGCAGATTGTACAGTACATGAGCAGATTGTACAGTACATGAGCAGATTGTACAGTATATGAGCAGATTGTACAGTACATGAGCAGATTGTACAGTACATGAGCAGATAGTACAGTACATGAGCAGATTGTACAATCATTGGCCAGGAAACTTTTAAAAGTAGTATTTAGAGATATTGAGATTTGTTAAATTATTTTCACCATTATTTTATGTTTTATACTTTGTATTTTTGTTTGACTCGACAGACCCAAGTGGTGGTGGTGACACCTTGAGTCCTCTTGGGTCACCAATAGTGCTACAAAGGCGTGGCTCTGTCTATGGTGCTAATGTCCCTATGATCACAGAATTAATAAATGACAGTAATGTTCAGTTCCTTGATCAAGATGATGATGATGACCCAGACACTGAACTCTACTTGACTCAACCCTTTGCTTGTGGCACTGCCTTTGCTGTCTCTGTCCTCGACTCTCTCATGTCCACGGTGAGTATTCAGCTGATGCACTCTTTTCAAGATTTCTTCCCTTATTAAATTTCTTCTTTTAATTATTTTTGTTTTCAGATGTTTGTGTATATTTTTTGGTATGTACCTTTTTCATTGTGTTTTTATTCCACTCTCAGAACTTTGCTTATAACTGCAAAAAAAGCAAGTCTACATCATATAGAAATTGCACATACAAACTTTGTAGATTATGTATAAAAGTAGAATATAGTTGCCAGTGTTCAGACAGAAATCAAAGAGTAGAGTCTTGAGTCTTGTAAGTACAACCTTGCAAGAACAGAAAAAAAAATTACTTTCAGAAGAAGCCTTGTTTTAAAAGAATAGGATTTCTGTTAGGGTGCCTCAGTTTATTAGCTAGTCTCAGTGTATGTAGTGTATGGATATATATATGCTGTGATTTCGAATATACTGCTTGACTTTCAGTTCAGCCTTCAAATGTCTGATGACTTCAAGTATGCATTTGCATGCCCAACAAGGCATCTTGCCATCTTCCATGCTCTCCTGAAGCAAGAAATTTACTATTTAGTTTGGCAATCGGCCACCAAGATACTCTGGCACAACCTCTGCATCTGCTTTGATAATCTAGTCTGTTGTTTTTGTTAACACTTGGCCAAACAACGAAAAGATTTACCCGATTTACCAGAGGGCCACTAACCCTAGTGGCCTCGATGAGGACAGGAAACCACAAAAGATAAAGCTTTTCATTGTTTTATTTCAGTGAATATATATTGTATCCTGTCACTATGGCTTAAAAAAATGTAGATGTGTTGTTCAGGGCTTCAACAAATAATGCAGATGAAGTCACAATAACGTGGCTGAAGAAATGTTGACCAAACCATACACTAGAAGATGAACAAACAATGATGCCAAGAGAAGGCATATTTTGATGAATTTAGAGACAAAAATTACCTCTTGTAAAGATGTTGAATCTGGTGTTCCTAGAAGTGTCATGGGGACTGTGTGTAAATTGAACAAAACTACTTTTTGTGATTTTAAACAATATTTATATACAAGAAAGTATTCCATTCACCTGGGCTGTATGGGTCTCAAACCAATGTACCTTTTATGCAAGAAGGTACATTGGGCTGAGAAAGTACATACATTGGAGTTTGAGTCTAACAATCTTGCAAAGCTACTAACATTCATGGCATTTCAGGCAGGTCCATAAGCTAAACAATAAAGGTAACAATTTGAGTTACACATTAAAACTTCAAATTAATAGAATAGATTACTGTATATTGTTGAAGTTTAAAGTCTTAAATACTAATTTGGGTGAGTTGGGTAGCACAAAATGGTAAACTATGAGGATGAAATTATGTATTTTTGGTTTTACTTTGAATGAAGTATAGGTTGGACAATTTTTTAATTCATTAGGGAGTGAGGTCTATAGATTGTGTCCTTTTATTTGTGTTGAGTGTTTGTACATATTTAGTCTGACTGGGGATATCAAAGATATATTTATTTCTGGTGTGTTGCTCATGGATTCTGTTCATCAATCAAGGATGATTTCTAGATCAGGATTAGCATGTAGGAATAAGATTTTATACATTTAAAAAGCACATGAGAATGTGTGGAGTGAGTGTATGTTTAGCATGTTTAGGGATTTAAACAGAGGAGCTGTGAGTTGTCTGAAGACAGAACTTGTTGTAGTTCTGATAACAGATATTTGCTGAGTGATGATTAAAGAGATGGTTGGCTTGACTGCATTTATTTGGACAAAAAAATGTTTTTTTTTTAAAGTCCCAAAAGGTCAGATGTAACACAAAGAGCAATGATTTCAAGCTCAACAAGCCACAATGTAGGACTGAAAACTGGGGAAGCCTTTTCATCCACAGGGTTATAAACTCAAGGAACCACCTATCCGTCAAAACCATAAATTCCAAAACTCATAAATTTTAAAATCCAACTGGAAAAAATTATCAGGGCAAATGGAGGGAGCTTAGACAAGCTATCTGTCCTTATCGAGGCCACTAGAGTTTTAGTGGCCCTCATCTAAATTCAGAATGAATCAAGATCTTGCAGAAATATCCTGGGAAGAACAGCTAAATAAAGCAAACTTAAACTAGTGCTTCAAGAAACTAGGCAGTGTAGCACCTAAAGTATGTGGAAGTCACATACAACTAAGGAAAAAAAAAGGGAAAAAGATGCAAACTGGAGAGTAAAGGCATTCCCTCTAGTGTAAAAAAAATAAAACAGAGAAAATCTCAAATGTTCCACTCTAACAAAATCATACATACACACAGCCAACATATAGAAAATTATGAAGCATGTTCACATGTAAAATATCTACTCATTATTATGACATTTTATTATGATACCTTTATTTTTGTACTGTTACAGACATACTTCAATCAGAATGCTCTCACACTCATCCGCTCCTTAATCACTGGTGGAGCAACTCCGGAACTGGAACTCATCCTTGCTGAAGGTGCAGGGCTCAGAGGAGGCTACAGGTGTGTAAAATATAGTACTGTATTGTTATTGTGGTGCTAAAATGACTATAGTATCAGTATTTCACTCTAGAAATCAAATTTACATTTATTAAACAATAAGGCACCAACTGAAGTACTCAGCAACTCGGTAACTCTGTACTATGCAGTCTCAGTAACATGTTTCAGTTTACTAGTTCAGATTTGATTGTATCAAAATTTGTGAATTAGAACTCTAAGACTTAAGAAGTTTTAATATACTGTACTCTAACATGAAATTAGAGAAAATTAGGAGTAAAGGTGGACCCCTTATATAATGAGGCAATTTATTTCTGGGAAATCACAAGTTATTTAAAATGTTCTATATAAACTGAATAACATACAGTATAGGAAAAATAGGGGGTTATGTTACCATCATGGTAAGGTTGTAAATTACAGGAATAATTTATCCTGAAAATGAAATTGTGTAAAAGAATGCAGTTGGTGTGTGTGTGTGGAAGTGGTGTGTGTGTGTGTAATTACCTAAGTGTAGGGAGCCAGTTGGCCGAGTGGACAACACACTGGACTTGTGATCCTGTGGTCCCGGGTTCGATCCTGGGCGCCGGCAAGAAACAATGGGCAGAGTTTCCTTCACCCTATGCCCCTGTTACCTAGTGGTAAAATAGGTTCCTAGGTGTTAGTCAGCTGTCACAGGCTGCTTCCTAGGGGTGGAGGCCTGGTCGAGGACCGGGCCGCGGGGACACTAAAAAAAAAAACGAAATCATCTCAAGATAACCTCAAGATAGTTACAGGCTGATAGCTACACTCATGGTGTCCTGTTCCTAAGTAGTTACAGGATGATAGCTACACTCATGGTGTCCTGTTCCTAAGTGTAGTTACAGGATGATAGCTACACTCATGGTGTCCTGTTCCTAAGTGTAGTTACAGGATGATAGCTACACTCATGGTGTCCTGTTCCTAAGTGTAGTTACAGGATGATAGCTACACTCATGGTGTCCTGTTCCTAAGTGTAGTTACAGGATGATAGCTACACTCATGGTGTCCCGTTTTCCCAATACTCTTTGTCGTATAATACTTTGAAACCATCAACGGTTTTTGCCTCCACTTAACTTGTTCTAACAAAAAAAAAATTGCAGCTTTGTTTAGTTAGCTTAAATCTATGACCTCTTGTTCATGAAGTTGCAGGTCTCAAGAATTCTTCTTTATCAATTTTGTTGATTCCCATTACTATTTTGTATGTAGTGATCATATTGCTTTGTTTTCTCCTGTCTTCTAGCTTTGGCATACTGTATTTAATGCCTCTAACCTCTCCTTGTAGCTCTTGTCTTTCAGTCCCAGGAGCCATTTATTTCCATGTCATAGCTTCTTTTCCAGCTTGCTGATGTGCTTCTTAAGATATGCGCGCCATATAACCACTGCATATTCCAATTTTGGTCACTGTGTGATGGTGAATGATTCCCTCCCTTAGGATTCTCTCTATGAGCTTTCAGATTTGTGATGTCAAGTTGATCAGATGGTAGTTTTCTGCTGAGCTCTTCCTGCCTTTTTGGAAAATAGGGGTGACATTTGCATATTTCCAATCTAGGAGAACTATCCCCTTGGTCCAGAGAGATTCTGAAAAGGAGTTTCAATGGTAGGCATAGTTCTATGTCATAGTCATAGGTCCTTTATGACTTTGGATTGAATTCCATCCACACCTGGGGATTTTAAGCCTTTAAGTTTGTCAATGTTCTTCCTGATTATGTCACATTATGGGTATATTCCTGAATTTGTTCTCTTCTCCTCCAAACATTTGTATGGGTGATGGGATGTCATCTAAAGTTTCTAGTGTGAACACTGATGTAAATATTCATTCAGAATGTTTGCTGCCCTTTTATCATCCATTATAACTTGGTTAGTCTCATCTTTTTAGGGTCCTACCGAGTCTTTTGTTTTGGCTTTACTTCTTATATAGGCATAGAATGCCTTTGGGTCTTTCTTTGTTTTAGGCAAGTTTTCTTTCATAATTTCTTTAGGCTGATCTGATCCTCGTGGGACTATTTTCTGTGGAGAGCCGCTTCGGCTCCCTGGAACTCTACTGGGCTGATGTGTATATATTAGACTGTGGCAACAGTCAGTCGAAGGAGTTCCAAGCCTACCGGGGACCAGAGCAAGAACCTGGCCCCCTCAAGAGAGGCATGAGGAGCAATGGCCTAAAGACAGCCCCGTATAATTGGAAGCAGTCTTTGTTTGCCATCTACCAGGTCAGGCACCCAGAAAGGTAGGAATCTCAAAACAAACTACAGCTGGTCAAAAATTGCAAACCAAAAGCCGAACTAGCAAAAACACCAGGGAAGATATTTCTTTGAAGGGGCAGTGTGCTAGTGGGCACCCTAGGAAGGAACTCAGAATATATATAGCACAACAAAGCAAAGCTCATGCAATAACCTGGATAAAAAACCACACATGAAACAAAAAGTAACATATAAAGCAGAGTTCAGTATCGAGCAAATGGCCCCCATGGGAATAAATCCAAGGATGGCCAGCACTTACTGTAGCTTGAAGTAAAAGGGGTTTGCCACATTTGAAAGACCCAGAATAGAAGTGTCTGGCAGGACATCAGTTTAAGAACTCACAAGGAAGGTGGCCGTGTGCAGGAGTTGGCTTACCTGGTGGTGGTATTCAGTACTATGAGTTTTGCACTATCTTTGAATGTTTTTCTTGTTCCGTGTGAATCATTTGCAGAGTTGTTTGGTATTTTAAAGGTTTTGGTCATTGTTAACCCTTCTAGCTGTCTGTAGAGTTTCACTGACGTTATGGATGCTTTCCCGGTGTGGTGGAAAGTTGTCACTTGCTCTCTGTACCTCTGTGAGGTGGGGGTGGGGGGGATAAGCCAGGTTTTGGCTGTGGTTTCTAGCAGTCTAAACAGAACTGCATCTAATGTCACTTGTATAGAGTAATCTTAGCAAGATAGCTTTAGGGAGTCACTGGGGTTTCAGCCAGTAAAACACTTTATGGCAAATTAACAGCGAGTCTTGAATAAATGCTCATTATATAATTATCAGCTGTACAAAAAATGTTCACTTATTAACATTCTTAATGCTGTTGTAGATTTATGGACTTGTCTAACAATGTTTGGATATGCAAATTCCAAACATATTCAGAGAGTGCCGTAGTTGTAGTCTGCTTTGTGGAAATTTAGTGAGTTCATCTGATTGTGTGAAACAGTTTAATATTGAGAATTTATAATTTATTTCATATGATATTTTAGTTTGAGCATCACTAGCTCACTAGTTATTTTAGCACTGTAATAATAAACTTTATTATGCATTTAACTCTATTCCTTATATACTTGTAGTCTATATATTTTTGTTTCAGCTCCTGTAAAACCAACCAAGTCATTTAAATAATTTTGTATTTTTGAATTTATCTTTAAATTTTCTGTCTATAATATTGTTTCAACAAGTATTATCACACATGCTTACACGTAAATTCCATCATTCAAAACTCTTGTTGCTCTGCACTTCCAACTAAGTATACACATATTGCAGTCATGTCCATAAAGTGGAGTTTAATAATGGGCATCACATGTAGAATATACTACAGTACATATGTAAATAATCCAATATTATTTTGTGGAGTAATTCTTTAATCATGTCTTTATCAGAGAGTCATATTTTTTAGTACTTGCATAGTTTTTACTGTACTGGATACCCATACACCATTTCTGCCAAGTACAAACGTCTTTTCCACAAGGTGAGATAGTTAACTGCTGATGTGGTCAGTGTGGCTGTATGTTGACTGGTGATGTGGTCAATGTGGCTGTATGTTGACTGGTGATGTGGTCAGTGTGGCTGTATGTTGACTGGTGATGTGGTCAATGTGGCTGTAGCTTGTTGACTGGTGATGTGGTGAGTGTAGCTTGTTGACTGGTGATGTGGTCAATGTGGCTGTAGCTTGTTGACTGGTGATGTGGTGAGTATAGCTTGTTGACTGGTGATGTGGTGAGTATAGCTTGTTGACTGGTGATGTGGTCAGTGTGGCTGTAGCTTGTTGACTGGTGATGTGGTCAGTGTGGCTGTATGTTGACTGGTGATGTGGTCAATGTGGCTGTAGCTTGTTGACTGGTGAGGTGGCTGTAGCCTGTTGACTGGTGAGGTGGCTGTAGCCTGTTGACTGGTGAGGTGGCTGTAGTCTGTTGACTGGTGAGGTGGCTGTAGTCTGTTGACTGGTGTGGTGGCTGTAGCCTGTTGACTGGTGAGGTGGCTGTAGCCTGTTGACTGGTCAGGTGGTTGTAGCCTGTTGACTGGTCAGGCGGCTGTAGCCTGTTGACTGGTCAGGTGGCTGTAGCCTGTTGACTGGTCAGGTGGCTGTAGCCTGTTGACTGGTGAGGTGGCTGTAGCCTGTTGATTGGTGAGGTGGCTGTAGCCTGTTGATTGGTGAGGTGGCTGTAGTCTGTTGATTGGTGAGGTGGCTGTAGTCTGTTGATTGGTGATGTGGCTGTAGCATGTTGACTGGTGAGGTGGCTGTAGTCTGTTGATTGGTGAGGTGGCTGTAGTCTGTTGATTGGTGAGGTGGCTGTAGTCTGTTGATTGGTGAGGTGGCTGTAGTCTGTTGATTGGTGAGGTGGCTGTAGCCTGTTGACTGGTGAGGTGGCTGTAGTCTGTTGATTGGTGAGGTGGCTGTAGTCTGTTGATTGGTGAGGTGGCTGTAGTCTGTTGACTGGTGAGGTGGCTGTAGTCTGTTGATTGGTGAGGTGGCTGTAGTCTGTTGATTGGTGAGGTGGCTGTAGCCTGTTGACTGGTGAGGTGGCTGTAGTCTGTTGATTGGTGAGGTGGCTGTAGTCTGTTGATTGGTGATGTGGCTGTAGCCTGTTGACTGGTGAGGTGGCTGTAGTCTGTTGATTGGTGAGGTGGCTGTAGTCTGTTGATTGGTGAGGTGGCTGTAGCCTGTTGACTGGTGAGGTGGCTGTAGTCTGTTGATTGGTGAGGTGGCTGTAGTCTGTTGATTGGTGATGTGGCTGTAGCCTGTTGACTGGTGAGGTG